ATATGGGAAATTATGGAGAACTAATCAATATAAGGCATATGAAACCTATATTAGCCTAATAATAACTTAAAAGTAGTAGCCCCATAAAAGCTAATTTTAAAATAATCAAGGACTGTGTGTGAAATGACTGAAACCCCATTTTAATTAGCAATTTTGTTAATTTTCCGGATTATAAAAAGTTGGAGAATTTCAATACTTCATTTTGTTAAAAAAATGAAAATGTTATTTAAGTGAGTTTGTTGTTTTTTTTTTTAAGATTTTTTTTTTTCATTGGGTGAGAAATATAGCATATCACAGGGGGAATTCAGAGGTTCAGTTTTGACATTTTTGTTTTGTACTGTTTATTTGCAAGGGTAATTAACAAATTGTCAAGAAAGCATAAATCTCTGGAGATCTGTACCAAGAGAAATGTCAGTATGATAACTCTTTGTTTATTTGAAATTTTCATAGTGATCACTCAGTGAGGACCTTTAGAAAAAAAATATGATCATTGTACACAAAGTATTTTATTTGGTATGACTGTCTTTATTTCATAGACTCTGTATAATTGAGTGCTTTTCTCAGGTTTATTTTTCCTTTAAAATATTTGTGCGAAGTAGGCCATGTGAGTACCAGAACTTTCAGCTCAGAAATATGAAGCAGGAATAATTTTGCATGTAACTTACATAGGCTATTTTGAAAATCAAAATGATCAAATGTGAATTTTATAGTCTGTTTTTGTTATGTTAATCTAATTTATTATCATGATATTATACAGTTTAGTAGCATAATTAAAATATCACATGTGGAACCCATAGCCCAAACAATATTTCAATTTAATTAGTAGACATGCACACCTACTTCTTTTCTAAGGCATTCATGGGCTCTGCTCAGGAGACAGCCTAGGTGAAGAATCATGACTGATCTAATCCATTTAAATCTGTGCTAGTTTCTCTTGTAACTGAAGGTAGAGAGTACTGTGGGAATAGGACATGGGGATAGTTAATAAAACACAATAAAGCTTAAGAAGAGTAAAAAAACAAACAACAAAAAAAAGATTTTATTTATTTGAGAGAGAGAGAGGGCATGCAAGTGGGAGGAGAAGCAGAGGGAGACAGAGAATCTCAAGATGATTCCATGCTGAGCATGGAACCTGATGCAGGGCTCAATCTCATGACTCTGAGATCATGACCTGAGCAGAAATCAAGGGTCAGACTCTTGACCGACTGAGCCACCCAGACAGCCCTAAATGAGTGTTTTAAATTATTCTAGACCAAGCCCAGAGCACTTCATGGAGGATGGTAGGCAGCTAAATATATTTAATTGTTGGATGAGGTGAGAGGTTAAAAGAACAAAATACAACCTTTCCAATAGCTTATAAAACGGAGAAAAAGGAATTAGTAGACACATGCTTTTCTTAAAGGAAAACTTTTGAAAATATGATTTTGTACCTTTTAATCAAACACACTGAAATTTAATTGATGCTACTAGAACAATAGGAGTTCATTTTTACATGTTGCAAATTTAGAAATTGAGATTATTTAAATAGGAGTTAGGATTAAGTTTACTTTTACTTTATGTTTTAAAAAAAGTTTCCTAAGAAAGTGAGTTATCTATGAGAGAAGTTAAATCGTTTTCAGGCAAATTCCTCCCCATCCCCTCTCCACATCTTTTGAGAGTTGAATCTGTAGGTGTGTTAGTTTTCTACAGCAGTTCTCTAACAAATTAGTATCAATTTAGTGGCTTAAAACAAGATCAATTTCTCTTGCAATTCTGTTAGAAGCCTGACATGAATCTCACTAGGTTAATCTCAAGTTGTTCATGGGGCTTCATTCCTTTCTCTGAGGCTCTGAAGGAGAATCGGAGACTTCCTTCCTTACCTTTTTCAGTTTCTAGAAGCCATCTCCATTCCTTAACTCAATTCATGGCTCCCTTCCTCTATGTTAAAAACCTGCAACGTTGTATCTCTGACTCCCTCTTTCTTATCAGAGCTGGATAAAGTTCTCAGGTTTTAAGGACTTATATGATTACATGGAGCCCTCTCAGGTAATCCAGGAGAATCTCCCCATCACAAGACCCTTATCGGGAACCATATCTACAAAATCCTTTTTGTCACATGTGATAACATATTCACAGGTTCTAGGAACTGAGATGTTGATCTCTTTGACGGCCATCTGTGTACACACTGAGGAGGTAGCACTCAGTTCACAGGACTGTGAGTCAGCATCAGAAGATACTGATGTAGATTGATTTTTTAAAAATTGGTGTATAATAATTTATACTTGTTAATGAAGGCAATTACCACCTTTAAATAAAACTTTCATTAATTATTTGAAATGTTTTTATGTACAGTTTTAAAAATAATTTAATGATTATTTAATGGTAAGTTTTTAATAGTAATAATTCCATTGCCTTCCACAAGTCTGCGTATTTCACATAATTTAATTATAATAACAATATAGCTTTACATATATGAACTATCTTATATTCTGTTTTCACCCAATTCTTATATATACAACGATACAAATAGGCCATATTTTATTACGCTTTGATCTTGATGTTAGAGATTTATGTGTTTACAGTTTCTTATTAATGTAGATAATGAAGTCAACTGAACATTGACTTATTTATACTCAGGTTTTGCTTTTATTGAGTAAATCCCTTGGAAAAAATTGCTTTGAAAGAAATTCACAGAGTAAAAATATATGACTATCTGCAGGTTGTCCACACAGTCTCCTCTTTTTATTTGTTTGTAGAACCATAATTTTGTTCAGTTATTAGTTGGTAGGGTGATTTAAGCCCCGGGGGATGAATTTGTCCTATAAGTAAAACCTGGAATTTTCTATGTCCTTTGCCAGTGATTGGTTTCAGAATTTGTGGGTCAAATTTGTCCAAAAAGATCAAGTTGAAATTTTTTTTAGCTAGTGAGGGTTTGGTCAGAGCTGGAATTTAGTTAGGATGCTGAATTTAGTTAGGATGTCTGTTATAACTCTAGTTCAGATGAGTGGAGGAGCTGAACTAGAATGAGGTTGGAACGGGTGAGACAAAAGGAACATTCAAAGATAACTGACATGTTGGGCCAGGATGGCTATATAAGAAGCAAGTGCCATTGTTGGGATGGTGGGTTTGTGGTCCAGGATGTTTTGGATGTTCAGGGATATTGACTTTATTTTTTTTTAAGGTTTTATTTATTTATTTGACACAGAGAGAGACATCACAAGTAGGCAGAGAGGCAGGCAGAGGTGGGGGGAAGCAGGCTCCCTGTGGAGCAGAGAGCCTGATGTGGGGCTCAATCTCAGCACCCTGAGATCATGACCTGAGCTGAAGGCAGAGGCTTAACCCACTGAGCCACCCGGGCGCCCCAGGGATGTTGACTTTAATTTGATGTCCTAAGGACAAGCATCCAAATATGTGTGGGCTTCAAGAGATACCTTGGGTTCAGTGGAATGTACTGTGAGGAACAAATGCAAGCCCCATATACAATTTTAAATTTTCCAGTAGTGGCATTTTTTAAAAAGTAAAAAAAAATAAATAAATAATAAGGAAGCGATGTTGATTTTAATAGTGTATTGTATTTGATACAATATATCAAAAATCTTATCATTTCATTAGATAGTCATTATGTATTCCAACATCTCACTTTGTTCTGGCCACATTTCAAGGGCTTCATTGTCATGCACAATTAGAAAAATGAATTTAGGAGCCAGTTTTAAAAAAGTCAGTACCTTTCTTTGCTTGCAAATATGAACTTGTGTTTGGCTTCTTTCTGGGGATTTTTACTGTTGTGACTAACACTGTAATGAACAGCCATATATAGAACTCCTGGTGCAGGAATTAAGGATGGTATATTCCTAGGTGTAGGATGGCTGGCAGGCAACAGGTGAAATCGTGCTCGCTTTATTCTCCAAAGTGGTTACTCCAGTTCACATGCCAGCTAGTAGTGTGGAAAAGAGTCCTTATTGCTCCACCCCCGTACCAACATTTGGAAAAGTCTCCTTTCTTCATTTTTGTCAAACTAGTGGGTGTAAAATGGTTTCTTATTTCTTCACAGTTTGCATTTTTCTAATTATTAATGAGATTGAATACCTTTTGAGATGTGAACCTTCATTTGTCCTCGTCTATAGAAATTACAAATATTTATTCATTCAAATATAAATATACTTATATATGGTATATGCCATATATTCATATATGTCATATTATATATTTATTCACAAATATTTTATTTTTGAGCACTATCTATTACGTATTGGTCTAGGTATAGAGACTCTACTAGTAGGGGGAAAATAGTCTCATATCTTGCCTTCTAGGAGTTTAGTTCTAGTGTTGTGTATATCATGAAGAGGAAGAGAAAAAAACAATAACAATAAAAAAAAGGTGAAGCGGCGTATGTCAAGTGTTGTTAGTAAACCTCAGTTAAGTCCGGTTCAGCCATTTTATGTCAGGACTTAACTTAGCTTCTGCAGTTGTAAAAAGGAGATGGTAATAATACCATCTTCATTGTTCATTCAATGCATATGAAGAACTTGACACAGCCCTGGCAAATTGTAAGACTCAGAAAATGCTAATAAGTATTATTTTCCCCCTTTTCGCTTTTCCTTTTTCCCTGTAATTTCTTTTCAGAACTTCTGAAGTTTAAGATTAAATATGTTTTGGTTTGTTGAAGTGTTGTCTTTCATCAGGGTGTCAACCTATTGGTACTTTCTGCGACAAGACAGATGACCTTAGCTAATTTTGAGATGTGTTTTTGGAATTTCAAGCTTCTTAAGTCCCAAAAACCAAGAGCCTGAGAATGGGTACTTTTTAAAAAGCTACATCATGTCAAATGCCAAAAATGTGGGAAAATCTGTAGGAATGCCTTGTATTCATTCAGGGCTGTGTCCTATGAATATAGATTTTGCCTGAATTAATCATTTTAATCTAACAACCAATTTACTATAAACCATGTGCAAAGTGCTGTATAGAAGAGATGCATGTGACCTTGTTAATCTTTGGAACAATTATGTGTCCCTCTTTCTTAGATAATGATGTTGAAAATGATCTTCAATCAGACATCGGTTGAGCACTGCAAGACTCACACTGAAAAGCTGAAAGAATGCAACTTCTTCTTAATAGCTGTGCGCCTGGCCTCACTGAACCAGATCTTGGATCCCTGGGTTTATCTGCTGCTAAGAAAGATCCTTCTTCGAAAGTTTTGTCAGGTAGCAAATGCTGTCTCCAGCTGCTCTAATGATGGACAGAAAGGGCAGCCTATCTCGTTATCTAATGAAATAATACAGACAGGAGCATGAAAGAGAACACCTAATCAACTTGCATGTTCACAGCTTTTGGCAACAAGTAACCATAAACCTTACTGTGAATTTAGGCATCTCTGGCATGCCACTGTTTATGCATTGAAGGAGAATTTTGATATAAGGCTAAATGGTCTCAGAAGCATAGATAATCCCCTATGTGCCAAAAGTGTTGAAACACAAAGGAAAATATATTATTAACGGTCTAGTGTTTTTGGGTCTCTGCCATTTGTAGCTGAATATGTGATTATTTAGGAGATGAAAACATTTTTTGTTATATAAATGATCTTGGTCTGTGGTAGGGGTGAAGTGGGGAAAGTTAATATTCCAGTGTACTGAGTACATGGGGGACGGAATCCATAGATCATCAGAGATAGGCAGCAATTTGCCTTTGTCCAAAGACCTTGGTCTTCTGTATTCTCTTTCTTTCTATCTCTCCATGTCACTCTTTTCCCCTTACATTTTTTAAAAAATTGCATTAGGATAAAAAACATAAATGTATCCATAATATTTAGTGGTGTTGATGTAAATATTGCTCAATGCATAAATTATCTGCTGAACTTATGAAGTTCAAGTTTTGGATGTGTTGGTAATTATGTTTACTCCTATATAAGAGCCAATTGCATTTATTTGAAATATGACAGGATTTATGACTATCCAGATTACTCTATGTTCTTCTTTTTGAATGTATTTTTCATTCTTAAAAGCCTGGGTAAGATTTATGAATCTGATCTTGAGAGTCAGGAAAGTGATTTTTCAAAATGCTATTTAAGAACTAATTTGAGAACTAAATACAGGTACTGTGGTTAATTCTCTTCCCTGATTGTTCCACCAAAAGTATCCTCTAGTCTCCTGGATATTTAAATACTAACTCTAATTTCTATAGAGTTAATACTAACTCCATTAAATATTTTGAAGGTTCCATAACGAGTTTCTATAGTTTGGCCTATTTATAGAATTAGAAAATTAAGAGTATTGACCCCTCACAGCACTTTCTATATTCTCTCTTCAAAGTAGCTCTGTATCTAAATATTTATTATTAATATGTTTTCTTACACTCTATATGTGTACAAACCTTGATAACTAAGCTAGGTATCTTTTTGACACAAGTAGATTATTACACTAAGTTTTGAGAGTTGCACTTAAAAAACAAACAGAAAAACTTCCCCAACAAACATAACAATCTTTTAAATGAGACCTACACAAAATGCTCTTTGTATCCTTTGGAGCATTCATTTTGCAAACTCATTAACAGTTTCTCATGAAGATAGTAATCTACAGCTTGCCTTATTGCATTCCTAATTTTAAAAGTTTAAGATTTATTTTATATTTCTTTATAGTAACTACTTTTCCCCCTGTGTTTAGTAGGCATTTGAGGAATAGTTGATTTTAATAGGTACAACATATCTATTAGATTAATATATAAACCATCCAGGTCAGTTGGGAATAATCAATTTATTATTATTATTATTATTATGAATACCATGTCAAACTGAGTGGATAAACAAGGTCTGCTGAGAGTGTTTATGTAATTCATGATGGTTCCACTAATCTATGTTGTAGAAAAAAATGATGATATAGAACCTAATACTAAAGCCCTGTTATAAAATCTCTCTATGCTATAGAATCGGATTATCCCACCAGACACCTCATGAAGAATTAGACAAAGCTACCTCCTTTGTCCCAGAAAAGAAGTGCACTTAAATGACCTTACAGAAAAGAGGCCTTACCTCTTGAATCGTCCTCTGGTCCTAGGTCATAATCTGATAGACACACACACACGGTATGGATTTAAGTGATGTGAGTGGGATTGGGTTATCCCTTCCAGCACCTAGTACAACACTTGAAATGGAGGAAGAGTCCAGCATTTATTCAATGAATGAATGAATGAATGGCTGCCATTCATATGGCAGGCACCTTGCCAAGAGTGTCTTGGCAAGGTGCCTGCCATATGACTGAAGGGCCACATGCCATTATAGTCCATCAGACTGATAAGGTAAATGCTCTCTGCCTCTTTAATTACAGAAAAATGAATTTACCTTCAAATGTGTAGTAACATATTACTGTATAACAAAGTGCTTTATCTGTATTAATAATTTAAGAGACTGATACTTCCAAATGGAAATGGAGATTACTGTCAAAGAAATACCACTTTTCCTCAAAGCACAGAAATACATAAAGACAAAACAACCTGAAACTTATCCTTAAGTTCACAATAAATTTCTGCCCAGTGATACGTGGCAGGAGTGGACACATGGCAGTTTTTCAACAAGGTTGAAAAGAAAGTGGAGAAGGAAAAATTATGTAAATGGCATGGGTTTTGTTATCAGGCCCACCATTGGTTTGTCCAGGGAAAAGCTGGTAAGAAATATAAGCCCCAAATGATTTCAACCTTTGGATGATAGTTGAAGTTAGATTTCAGAAATGTTGTGCAGAGACCCTAGATGTGGTCAGAAAGTGAACAGACTTCTGAAGGCACTTCATTAAAAATCTGTTTCCAAGTTTAAGTTTATTGGCCTTTAAATTCTTCCTCATATACTTTGTTTATCTATGTATCTGTCTAAGCAGGAAAAGAAGATGTGGGCATAAATTATTATGATTCTTAACTTGACAGTATTGATTAAAAGAAAAATTAAAGGCCTAAGAAACCACCTGGGAAGAAGTGAGGATAATGTAGAAATTAAGGTACAATCAGCTCCTGTAGATTGTACATAGCGGGGCTGATTTTCCAAATGATGAATTTATGCAGCTAAGCTGTCATAGAAGAGAAGGATGATGTGCTATATCCAATAAGATTATTTTACATTTCAAATAAAATCGGTGCAGTGGATATCTCAAAACTACTTTAAATGTTTTATCTTAAGATTTATCAAAATTTGCCTAAGGCTGTATGCCAGGATATTTTTAGTAGATCTGTTTAATCTTGACAGATTTAAATGACTATGAATCAAAAAGTGCACAGAAAGTGTACATTTCTTTATTGTATAAAAAATCTCTCGACTGCATTGTAGAATAAAATTGTGGAAGCTCATGTAAAAGTTAACTGTAAGGGACCCTGGGACCATACTGGCATAGAGTGATGGACCAACTAGAAACTCTCAAGACAAAACTATTTTTCAAAGTTGGTCAATCTGTGACAAAATTCTAATAATAAATTTTCCAGTGAATTAGATCTTTTATTCATTGATACTTTTTATCTGTTGGCTTTGAGTCCTACTTTGTGATTAGTTTCAATCTTTCCTTGTCAGCAATCACTTAATGGTTCTTTTGTACTGGGATTAAATCAGAGACAGAAAGTAGAAAAATTTTTATTGTTGACAGTTTAAGCACATATATTCCTATTTATTTTTTAATATTTAACCCCAAAAGCTGTTCTCAAAATAAATAGGATACCAGAAGATGAGTGACATAGAAAGACTGCAGAGTATTTATTCCTAAGAACATATTAAAAGCTTAATGTGGAAAATTAAAATTTCTATGATTTACCCATGTGAAAGCTTAGATCATCACCCATGCCAAATCTTCAGAGATGTTTATTGATGGTTTTATGCTCGCATACATCCCAAAATCACAAACTGAGGTTTTAGTAAATGTGCAGAATTGTGCAATGAATAAGATTATATCATTTTAAAAAGGAAGACTATTTAATACTGTAGCTACATTCAGAGGACTGTTAACTGAATTGCAATAAAATTCTGAAAAGAGATGGCATACATGTTTCCTAACATAGATTTTGATAGAGCCAATTTACAAAATTTGAAAATCAACCTAAAACTCACATGCACATTTGTTAAAGAGCTGTAGCAGTTCAGTATTCTAAGACAACTAACTAGTGATTACATATGAAGCATGAAACAGAGAATTAGGGAAAATGTTAACATTATAATTCCATTAGATTGGAATCCTTTATATAGATACTGATTTCATAAGAAATTTCATATTAAGCTGAGTTACCCAAAAGATTTCAATTTTATTAGGAATTCATATCTCTAGTTATCCAGTAAAATCTTTTACCTGTCTTCTTTGAATACCTTTTTTGGATTGAGCCACCTTGCATAAAACAGAAGAAAGTAAAAAGAATAGTGCAGAGTGAACTTGTTCTCAAAGTGACAAAGGAAAAACTGAGACTATGCCCTTCTCAGAAAGACTTTCCCAAGTCTAGAGTTAAGGAATTATTATTTTTTTTATAAGAAAATCAACAATTCATGCTAAAGTCAGATGGAAAGATATCCTCAAAACATGCTCCTTAACATTTTCTTTCTCACTTGTCCCTGTTCTCTACTCTTTTAAGGAACAATAGAGGACAGAATTTTTATTTTATATATTCTCTATTTTATAATTCCTAAAATAAGGACTCTATTTTAAAGGTTTATAATTTATGCAAGTTGAATTTTAAACCATGACATAATGATACCATAAACTGAGTACATTTTGATTATGGAAAAACAGAATCAGATATATACCATCCATATTCATTTATGTATCACTTACTTTCTTTATTGAGAATCAAAATTCTTTCATTTTCAGAATTTTAAGTCAATCAATTTAATATTATCAACAACCTAAATATTTACTGGATTACATATTTCTTCATTAGGAATGAGACTGTGACCCCAAACCCATTGCCTCCAACCTGTTTATTCATTTTCTCAACAAAGAGAAAGTAATAGAAATATTTACTGTTGGTGAAATTGGGATTGTTTTTAAGAGGATAGAGAACAGCTTCATATTTCTAGCATGCTTATGCCTTAATATATGAAACAGATCTAATTCTGTTTTTTAGTAAGTCTGCTTTGACGGAACAATTTTATTATGGGAGTAAAGATAGGAAGGAAAGAGATGATCATGAGGAACAAAATCAGATTTTTCAAAGTTTTTGAGCATTTGGAGATGATTCCACCCCTGAAGTT